CATAATGAAACCACTCATAACGACACATTGGATCATCACAAGCCACCATTGAGCCATATCCTTTCTAAAAACCAAAGGAATTAACAAAAAGAATCAAACAGCAAGCAATTGTAAAATGTGTTGGTCACAAGCAATCTCAAAATGTTATCTTATAAAATATATGATTTTTGCGTCGCTTAACACCTCGACATAGTGGACAACATAAGAAAACAATTTTGTGGTCTTATTCCGATACATTCAGGTATTTCGATCATTCCGGTTCATCCAAATATTTCGGTCATTCCGGTTCATTGGAGTATTCTGATCATTACAACCAACTAACATATTTTGTTTACTATACTATGCTACACTGCTTTACTTTCCGATAATGAAAGCATTATATTTCAGAGAGAAACTGTTCATTCCTGGAAGGTGCAGCTTTGTCACAATTAATGCCGTTGATTAATGGCTATATCCTGTTGGCGCCCGCTTCTCCTACTGTTGACGCATTTGCCGAAAAGGTGATGTTGTGGTGGATTTGCAACACTTCAGAATGCATTATTATTCATCATTCTACCACAGTTCCCTGAACATCGCTATCAAGATGTTAGCTGCGTGACCACTTTAGAATTATCTTTGATAAGCTATCAATAGACTTATTCATATCAGTGTCTTTTTGCTCACACGAAGCATCTGACACCAATATTCCATCTAACCACATCCCAGATTTAAGCTTATATGGCAGATATTTCCACCATATACCTATTCAGGTAAAGACAAGTTATCAAATTAGTGAATTGAGAATGATTTCACTCGTACGGTTTTTGAAATATACGTTTCAGATGTCGGTACCACTTCGATGGGCCAGTTTACTGCAAAGTTCAATCATTGATTTCAATCGCCTGGCACCACCTCTACAAGATGCTTTATTTGAAAGCAAGCTACGTCCAGCCTCTCAAGTAATCTTTTTTCGCAAAAAAATTTATAAACAATGTGAAATTGAAAAAGTTTGGAAGAACTTCATTAAATATATTTTAAAATTCTAAAGTTTTTAAATTTCTTTGGGATATTTTCAATGTTATTTTATTGAATACTTGCAGAATATTATACAATTATTGAAACTATTGGAGAAATCAGGTATTTTAAGCAGTAATTTTGTGGCATTTCTATCGTCAGCATTATCAGATATGTTCAATCTTTCATCTCATTCATCATCCTTGCTTATGCGCGTTAGATTTATAACGCTTAAACTGGAAGAAATTCTACAGGTATAATTTAAATAGCTCAAACTTAATAGTGAAATTCGGGAAATCTGAAATTTAAACTTTGAAGAAAAGTTTAATAACTAAATAGTTCTAGTGCTTCTCATTCGACCGTTTTGTTGTTGTTTCCAATGAGGAAGAAATGATCGATCGTGCCTTGTGTTTAATGGATCACAAGCAGTACATGGCTGGGATTGTTTTCCTACAGATCAATGAAAATTCTACAAATTTTCCACCTGTAATAACATACAAAATTCGTTATCCACCTGATTATATTGACTGTAAGTTTGATATTGGAGAAAAGTTATACCTTTCTTCAGTTCAGAGTGGTGCAATTTGTCGTATTTTCAGCAACACGAGATCTAATGGATTCATTTGGTCGTCAAATTTCACGTGATAATTATTTGATCGATTTGAAATATCTAACTTCTGGATTTAGTTTCCTTCAAGAAGCTATTGATAAAATTCTCATCGAAAATGCTACCGGTCGCAAGTACTCGACGGGTTTGTTTGCGCAACAGGAACCATATAAATGTGCTGAGATTGATAAGTATGACTTCAAATTATATCACTGCATCAATTAATTTAAGAATTTAAACAATCTTAAGTCTTATTGATAGATCATTTTAAGTGTGTCGGAATATGTTGAGATTTGAACGAGACAAACAGTTTAAAATAGGCAAGAAAAAATGAAGAATGAGAAAAATAATAGTAAGATGGAGGAATGAAAGTTAATAATAAGTTATTCATTATTATACCATAGTTCCCTGAACATCGCTATCAACGTGTTAGCTGCATAATCACTTTAGAATTATCTCTGATAAACTGTCAATAGTTTATTCATATCAGTGTCTTTTTGCTCATATGAAGCATCTGACATCAATATTCCATCTAATTACATCCCAGATTTTGTTATCCTGAAACCACAATAAGCTTATAAGGCAGATATTTCCACCATATACCTATTCAAGTAAAGAGAAGTTATCAAATTAGTATGAAAAAGAAAGCCTTCCAAGAAGTCAAGCCTTTTTTCAGGTTTTATATATTGAATTTTTTGGGAATGTTTGTTATTCTATCGTGGATGTTGCCATCAGCATTGCTTGTTAAAAATATTGTTTATGAAAAAGAGATGCGATTAAAAGAAATGATGAGAATTATGGGTCTCCGTGATTCGATCCATTGGATTTCCTGGAGTTTACATTCTTTCATTCTTACTTTTATCTCCATTCTCTTCATTTCCATTTTACTTAAGGTTTTTATTCAATAAAAAACAATTTCATTTTCAAAATAATATTGCGCAAATTTGCTCCAAAATAATCGTTTTTTTCTCTCCAATTCAGCATATAATAGTTAATATGCGGGGAAATCTTTTTCTTTACTTTTATAATGTTACCGGAAGATAAATGCTCTGCTCTATCCGGTATTACGGTTACAGTACTTCGGGTTAAGGTTTGCTAAAGGGGGAAAAAATTGAAGTCTTAAAAATTGAGCAATGTAAATTGATTGAGAGTAATGAAACAATTTTTATTCGGTAAAACGAAAGTTTGAAATATTGAATAAGTTTAAATTTCAGTATGGAAAACTTTTGCCAGTAACAAATTTCTCGGTTCTGATTATTTATTTTGCACTCTTTTCGATAGCTTGTATAGCACAATGTATCTTCATTTCAACATTATTTTCTCAAACAAATATAGCATCATCTAGCACTGCTGGATTATTTTTTCTTTTCTTCTTTCCGTATCAAATATCTTTCCGGACACAATCTTTAACCTTTATAACAATTACGGTAAGTATTGTTTGGAACGGTTACAGTATTCTCGTATTTAAGTAAAATAAAATGACAATAATAGTTTTTCTGATTGACATTTTCAAATTTTCATTATTAGATTTCGATATGATTTCTTTCAGTTACTTTTTCCTCAAACAGCAGTAGCGTATGGTTTTGAACTGATCTATCTGGCAGATAACAATTATATAACTGATTGGTCATCGCTTCTTTCTATTCATATTTCCGGTTAGTGAGAGATTTGTCGGATTCGAATTTTTCACTATGATAAAATTATCATTTCGAATCGGAAATCGGTCTGGAAGTCGATCTTACTGAGCATTAACTGAGTATTCCTACTCAAAATTAATTGTTTCTAATGTTCTAAAATCAAAGGAAGCTTCCATAGAGCTAAATCATAACTCGAAATATGAACTATCAGAATTTCAGCTCTCTTCTTTCTAATAAACTAATTGGTATTTATGATATCAATGAAATCAAAAACGCTCATGAAAGATATCATTATTACTTATTTAACTCACTTAAGATTGTGGAAGCAACTCCGACAGGAAGTATTTATGATAGATAGTGATAATAGTAACTCTTTTTATAAATTTATGATTCTTCAAATGATAATGAAATTTTTTAAATTGATTACAACAGGGTTACGAATTACTTTATCGACAGTACTAGCAGCATTTACATTGGACACATTCATTTATATTTCTTTGGCTTGGTATATCAGTGTTGTTTTTCCGGGTAAGTCCGATACTGCCTGAATTTCAACATGATGATCTGTGGCAATGATTTAACCATTTTCCTAAATCATGATTCTAAATTATGGTTGCTACTCTCTAACAATTATTATAATTAAGACTTTAATTATAGGTACTTACGGTGTCCCACAACCATTCTACTTTTTTCTCACTAAACGATACTGGTTAGGTGATAATTACGTGATAAGATCTGTATCAGATGCTGAGATAACTCCCATTGAAGCATCAGGTAAAAACTTATCTGATCTATGGAAATGGAAGTAATTTTATATTTTCATTTTGAAATTTGGTGATTAGTATTGCATTAGTCATAATTATTGTCTTGTTTATTATTATGATTTTTAAAATCATAATCTTCATCATTGCAATATTGCAGATAATTATGAACAAGAACCGATTGATTTGAAGCTTACGGTAGACATTTGTAGTCTTGTCAAAGTTTATGGAAATAGGACGAAAGCGGTAAATTATAACTTTATTTTTAATGCAGTGAGGGACTTGATTTTTCTCGAATTAACAGTTAACCAGATAAGGACTTTCTGACAGATCAGTTCAGATCAAAAGTACACGAGTAGAATTCTGACAAATACATTAACTGTTAGATTTAATGATGTATTATTAGATAGATATCTTTTTAGCTATCTTTTAATTATTGGAAGGAATTTGGACAAGTACATCTTTTGAAGAATGCCGCTAATTAGTTTCAGTTAGATGGCTTAAATATGCGATTCTACGAATCACAGATAACTGCTCTACTTGGACATAATGGTGCAGGAAAAACAACAGCTATGTATGGTTACTTTGAAAAGTTTGCCACAGTCTGAAAAATTGATATCAAGTTGAGAAATATATCTGGAAAGGAAACTTCATTTATGTAATAATTTTCAGCTCAATTTTGACTGGTTTATCACAACCAACATCAGGTACAATGTTTGTTTATGGTTTAAACATCAAAAAATATATGCATATCATACGTCATTCCATCGGTTTATGTCCACAGCATAATACTCTCTTCGATAAGTAAGTTTCGTTCATTTTTGATTACATATTTGGACTACTATGTATGGACAGTTTGTAGATGTCCAATACTTAGAACACTTGAGTGGTAATCTCAACAAATAGGTTCTCGTACCGGATGTTATTTGTTGCTTTAATCTATCACAAGCTCATCTACTATTCATGTCTTCAGTGTTAGGTTGTTTTAGGTTGACTGTCATCGAACAACTGAAATTTTATGGCACTTTAAAGAGTATTCCAAGCGATCGACTTAATGACGAGGTTGACGAAACCATAGAGGATCTTGGTTTAACCGCCTCAAAAGACAAACTTGTCAGTTATCTTTCGGGTACACTTTTTAATAAAATCATAGTAGTACAATTAGTGTATTAAAACAATACTTTACGTCAGATTATTTGCAGATGGTATGAAACGTACGTTATGCATCGGTATTGCTTTAATTGGTGATTCAAAGTTAGTAATTCTCGATGAACCTACAGCTGGTGTGGATCCCCGTGCCAGGCGTTCCATTTGGGATATCTTGATCAGAAATAAAAAAGGCTTGCTTTCAGTTAAAAATTTTTAATATATTAAAAAAAAAATTAAGTAAGTGGACATCTAAGTAACTACGTCAAAATTCAGTTTACAATGGTATCTGGTAGTACTAAAAAGTTAGGCAGAAATGATTTTCTTATTTTTGTGGAACGAAGACTATGGTCATTAATGCCTAAGTTTCTGGTAAATCTCAAAATTTAGAAAGAGTAAATAACTTTCTCTAGGACGTACAATAATCCTATCAACACATCACATGGATGAAGCAGATTTATTAGCCGATCGTATTGCTATAATATCAGAAGGGCAACTTCAGGTTGCAGGCTCATCGTTATTTCTCAAAAAGAAATTTGGAAATGGCCTGTATTTGAATATTTTAAAAACATCGGTATTTGTTTTTTCTTTTTCCTTTTTTTTTTAATAGCTATTCCCGAAATTCAATAAAATTTAAAATGCGAGTTTCACTATGCATTTGTTAATTGCATATAATTAAAGAAAGCATTGGATTTCTCTCAAATTTTATAACCAGTATGTTCCACTTTATTTTTTAACTTTTTAGAGTACCAAAGAAGTATTTGAAAGTTCTATGGAAAAGTTTTTGATGAAACAAACTAATGAACAATGTATGCTTGTGGAAAAGTATGAAAATGAAGCATTGTATCGGTTGCCTATCAATTTAACTGCGCATGAATTAAAAGAGTTGACTTTTTTTTTTTAATTGGACAATTCGAAAACTTCTTGTCATTTTTTGCTTAAAATATAACTGAAGCAGAAAAAAGAAAATTTGGTTTCTTTTTGCATAAAAAAAAAAGAAACTTCAAAACATCGAAACATATAAATAAATATTTTAGTGAGATTTCTTACTCTTTTATTGCTTTCTACTTTTATCTTCTTATCCTTTTTCCTCTTATTTTATTAAATAATTTATAACTTTTAAATGTTATTCAAAATTAATTCAAAACTGTTTATTTAAAATCTTAATTAATTATAGATTATTTGAAAAAATTGAAGAAGCAAAACATGAATTGAATGTTACAAATTATAGTATCACTGCTCCAACACTTCAGCAGGTAGTTATTTGAATTTTAATTTTAAATTTAGCAATTTAATTGCCATCAAGTGAAAAGATAAAATGTTTTGGCCTAATCACCTCCCCATTAAAATTTAATTGTGTTCTGAAATTCCGAAAAGAAACTATGGATTCAAAAATTTTTTAAATGTATTTGTTCGTTTTTCCATACAATCAACTCTAATTTAATTACTGTCTTCAATGAAATAGCTCATTTCTTCGGAATATCTTACAGATTTTCTTGCAATTAGCGCCAACCGAAGAACAAGCTTTGAAAAAAGATTATGGTAGATGTTGCTGTCCTAACCTTTCCAGAAGACTTCGTAGTATTCTATACTCTGTCAACGAAAACATCCTGGATAACCCGACAAATGCATCACTTCCAGTATTTGTAACAGGTGCTTAATGATTACAGCTCATTACCGCTCTTCGCTTTTGCCCTTCATTTTTCACGTTTCAAACAATGTTTACTTCGAAATACATGACCTTGGCTTAGCGCACTCTTTAAGTAATTTTATGAAAGTGACTATGATTAAACTCTGTGACAAAAATATTTAAAATAATGAAGATATAAATAGATTTTTTAATTAAGCTCAATGAAATTCAAATTATAGATCAATGTTTGGGAAATATGAAAATTTATAGGAGAAATTGAAGTTAGTTACCTTGAGTTATACTGAAATTAAAACTCTTTCTACAGGTCATGAACATCCAGCCATAGAATATATACACGGTAAAGCTGTTATACGGAAGCAGCATTTTAGAACTGTTATCAACAAACGTTTGAATGAATCCAAGCGAAGCATTATCATCATATTCTTTGAGGTTTGAGTTGGAATATTTTTGCTATTTGAATGATATCCTGATATCACAGTTAACATACGTTAAAAATGCTCTAGGGAAGATAAGCTTAAAATAATTCTCTTAATAAGTAAAGTTGCTGAGGCCACAACAAAATATTTGAATAATGTCTGATTACTGTGGTTCTGTTTGTAACAATATTTGTAATTCTTCAATTTTTATTATCAATGTTAAATATTTTCAGTTTCTAATACCAATTTTTTTGATATTTGGAGCCGAAATATATAGCAAACTTCTTAGTAAACATTATTCAAACTACAGACCGGAAACTGCACCTCCCTTGGAATTGATCAGTGGAATTTATGGAAACTGGACGTTAAGTTATTTCAGGTTTGATCATCAAATGAAATAATAATTCATTGCATTAAATAATCTCTCCTCCTATAAACTGTTGTAAATCATTTTTATTGATATTTAAAGTTACCCTTGCCGTTACATCAGTAATCGATAATTACTGATGATACTCTCTGATCGTTGTGCAAAATAACTAGAGGATGTGTTGATATTTCAGTCTCGAAAACCAAAATAAAGCTACAAAAGGTCGAAAGTATCTAAAAGCTATAACAGCATTTCCAGGGACTGATGTCCGATGCATCAATCATAGTCCTGTCAGGTAAGTGTTATTATCACCAGCAATTTCAGTTTCAAAATTCAAAGATTTTAAAGTTTAAATTGCCTTTCAAATTCAAAGTTTTAGAGGACGTCTCATCTTTTTTTTGAATTTCAGTCCAACTTTGGATGGGATAATCTATCCTTGTTATGTCAATGCTACTTTCTTAACGAACCTCAGTCTGCCATCAGAATTAGCTCCTTTTAATGTCCCACAAAAGTATGCTTTGTTTGATTTAGTACATTCCAATAATTTATGCAAATTAGATGAATTTGTAAATTTTATGTGAATCAGATGAATTTAAAATTATTCAAATTGCTTAAGCTTTTCAAAATTATGAATTCAAAAAATATTCCATTTGAAATGGGATAAAAAGAGACAGAGAAAGTGAACAAATGGAGAAAGATATATCTCAAATTCACTGATTAATATTGCTAAATATCCAAATACTTTTAAATAACTTATTTTAATTGAATTTCAAATTTATTCTAATTTTAAATTCAACAACTAAAGCATTTATTTTACATCGATGAGATTTCTTTTCAAGATGTGGTTGTGATTCATCAGGTTGGAATTGTACAACAGCAAATGATTTTAATTATGAATTGAGTAATGTGACACTTCCCACTGCTAATGTCATTTATGATGTTACTTATCGCAATATTTCACAGTTTCGATTGCTTACTTCTGATTTAACTATCAAAAATCCGTTCATGTTAGTTGTCACTCTTTTTTAGAACTTAAAAAAATTTCAAGCGGGTGTTTTGTTTTAGTTTTTTAATCCATAAAAGTGACGTTCACTGTAATGACATGCACAGACAGTCTGAGTACTATTAATTATTACTTGACATTTTATTATTTTTCGTAGAAGCTTCATTCATTAATTAGCTATCGTGTAATTTTGGTACTCATAGTAATGACATTTATCATTCAATTTGAATTTTCAAAAAAAAAAACTTTGTCAAACCATTGTTTTTACATTTAATTAAGGGTCGGTGGTTGGCAGTTTGCGCAGTTTAGTGTGGTTGCCTTGAATGATACAGAAAAGTTACATGCACAAATTGGTTGGCATAATTCATGTAAGTATTAACTTTTCGATTTTCCAAAATTTATTTTTTGGAAATATTTGAAAAATGGAATCCATAATAATAAAATTGCAATGTTATACAGTGACCTAAGCTTAATTCATGAATTTTTAGCTATGAAATTTAGGCATTTCGAAGTTATTCATGAAAGGCTTGTTTGTTTTATGCCTTTTCTTCATCATTATTTTAGTGAGTTTTATGAAGAAAGCAACAGAAATATGGGAAATCGATTGGCAACGTGCTGCACTCAATGTAAGCTTTGTCGAGAATCCATTTAGTCCTCGGAATAAAACTTTTAAGGATCTTATTGCTACTTCAATGGCAAATTTTGATACGGAAGAGAACAGTAAGGTAATTAATTTTAATATTTTATAGGTAAATTCAAGATGGACACCTCTGAGTTTATCAGCAGTTTTTTATTAATAGTAAGTACAAAAAAAAGCGAGAAGAAAAAAATGGTGTCGCGTAGGAATGGATTATTGAAGTTGAAGTAACAAAGTTGGAAGGAAGTTACGAGTTCATGAAGTTCACTACATTGTCGTGGAGATGCTGACCATACTGCTTCGGAAACGTTGCAAAAAGTTCTACAGATTAGGTAGATTGTTAAGGAAAAGAAGAACCATTAGTTATATTAATGAAAATTAATGAATCATATTACTGATAAAAAAAGTACTAATTCAGGTATGGTAAGAAAATATGTCGGATGAGATATATTAAATAATAAACTTTGATATATTAAAAAGTACAATCAGTGTTAAACTGATTATGTCAATAAATTGATAAGTGATAAGGAAATATGTTTAAGGTATGGTACAACAACAAATTGTGGCATTCATTGCCCATTTCCATCAATGCTTATCATAATGCAATTTTACGCTCTGAAAGTTCGGTGGATCCTGCAACTATTGGAATTCTCACTTACTCACATCCAATGAACTATAGCTTATCATCATACATTGATAGCATCCCACTGTAAGTTATCATTTAATATACAACAATGAAGATTACAAATAAGGTCATTCGTTGCTGTCTTATAGCCATTTTATGGTTCCCAAGCTAATCAGATTTCCAGTAATTTACGTACCTTTAAAAGTATCTCTCTAAATGGATACATGTCTTTTTCGACAGCTCTGATTATACTTAGGTTTTTCAAGCATATGTACCGCTATCTTTCATAAATAATATGAACAGTGCTAGGGATTTCTAGAATCTATCAACTGGTTACAGCAAATTAGTTATCCAGATTGGTTTTATGAAGGAGCCGATTGAGATGTGACAATGATCAAAAAACTGAAATAAAAAATTGTATAATGTTTTTCTCCGATTATTTACCATCAAAAGAAGGAGAAATTTTATTCAAATGGTGTATTTGTATTTCAGGATTCGCATAATATCTTTCCGGATAATTTTATTACTATTAACTGTTTCACTTGTTACTGCATGCTTTTGTTTATCACTTGTTGAAGAACGTATATCATTTAGTAAACATTTGCAAATGATCTCAGGTCTTACACCTTTCATTTACTGGTTCGCTAATTTCATCGTTGATATTGTAAGTTTTCATTTTCCTCTTATCAATCTCTCTTTAATTTCAAGTTAGGAAGAAATTTTTTAATAATGAAACAATAAATGAAGTATTACTATTAGTATTTCTTATAATTAATATTCTGTTTCAGATAACATATTTAATAGTTACTGCTATTATTATCATTTCATATAACATCATGGCAGTTGGTCATTTTGTTATTACTCCTTACTATTCTGCTTCACTTTTCGTTCTACTATTTTGTGCTGGGTAAACTTCCTTTTTTTTTATAAACGTTCCAGAAGAAAAAAAAAACTTCTGAAAGTTCAATCAATAATTTCATTTCTTTTAGCTTATCACTAATTTCTCTCACCTATGTGTGTCAAGCACTCTTCAACCTACCATCATTAGCATATATTGTTATTGGTATTGGATTTTTTTTTATCGGCGCAAATTGCACCACTATAGTGATTTTCTTAGAGAATCAATTGTTAAAGGTTACCCAGTTTTTTTCAAATCTGGGAAATCTCAGATTCTTTCAATTATTTTTTG